ATGACAAAGGACTTCCAAAGCCAAGCAAACCAAGCCGAATTGTGCGGCATCCATCAGAAAAAAACACCACACGCAACACTGACCGGCACCTCCCCCCCAAGCGAACTTCTGACCTGCAGTTACGTGTGTGAAGCGAGGACACGCGCGACCGTGTCCTTCAAACTTTGTCCCGTGAAGTGCAATCAAAGAGCTTGTGTGCCCATAGGTGTTAGTACCGAATCGGCACTTATCTCACTCGCGCAGCATCAAGGCAGTGGAAGGCCGCCCACTCCCCTCCGTTACAATTCGTAAAACCCCCACGAAGTTGTGACTACACCAGTGGTACATCGCCCTTTGTCGCGGTGCACTGATGCTAGAAGAGAGCCTCCCCCCCACCCCACGCCGAGCGGGGGTCGTGGGGGTTATGTGACCATACTTCACCACGCTGGTCAGTGCGAAATCCTGCTTCCCTTTTGATTTTTGTCAAGATGGATTGTTTCCGTGGTAATTGAGTCATAGGCACTCTCTTTAGATGTTTGTTTGTTGAAAACTATAATGCAATAGACGAGAGGCAATGAACTTTGAACGAGAACCCTATGGACTTGCATACACATTGACTGTGACTCAGAGCCCAGCCTGTAAAATGATGATAGGTGGATACTGAAGACTACAAGGCTCCAGGCACAAAAGGCAACCTACTGACACAACAAGGCTGCGGCGAATCCACACTAACCGGGTGGGGGACGAACAAACATAAATCCTTAGGTCGTAACAAAAAAAAATGTTGAAACCGATGACTTTCGAAACTTTCCACTTGGTTTAGCTCGACAACATCTGGTGACTCAACCACGATAAAGGAGCCCTGTGTTTGCAAAGGGAGATGCGGTGCAACCATTTGCTCCATTTGATCAGTGGAGAAAGCGGTCTCTTGTTTGTTTGTCAATGTGCGTGGGACAGGGACCTTTGTGAGCAGAGCTCCCTGGAGCTCTGAATCTCGATCCAGAGCCCTGCGTGCGACATCACCCACGACTCGGGCCATCAGCCGCCTTTACAGGCAAAAGCTGCTATTTATAATATTTATTTATGCATTTGAGCTTTACGCACACAACACACACACACAAGACACATAACAGACAATTCACTCAAATGATTTGTATGAATTATGCATAACTACGTCTAAACTGATTTTACCTAATTATTTATGCAACGTAAATATTCTTCCACTTCAGGCTGCTATACTTAGTCATCATCTACATCAGCAGCCGAGTTCTGTCTACTACTGGCTGAACGTCCCACCCAGGTCTTTGCCATTCTACATGGTCTCGTGATGCAATAGTCCATCTAGCTCCTGCATATGAGCTGTTGCCGTCATCACTCCATCTCTACAGCTGGCTGGCAGCGAGTAGAGGGGTGCAACGGTGGCTAGGAGATGTTAACTACCTCGCCTGGTATACAGGAGGCCATGGGTTCGATCCCGACCCGGACGCCTGCTGTGTATTTGGTGTTTGCATGGCCCTCCCGGGAGTCACGTGGAATTTTACTGCAGCTCCTCCAGTTTTTCCCTTCACATTTAGAAACCTGCGTTTCCACATGATAAGCCACTTCATTGAGCTGTCATTTGTGGCGAGGTCGCTTCTGAGCTATATAAACTCAGTGGGCCTTAACTGGTGAAGTAAAAAATAGTTTTGTTTAGATTCTGCGTGAAATGTATATGTTCTCCCCCTGTAGTGCATGGGCTTCCTCGAGGTTTGCCCGTTTCCTCCCGAAGCTGGAAAATGCACTCAATGTAAACTGGTGATGGCCAAACATCCCAATGCGGAAAAAACCCACCAGCGTGTTACTCAATTGGCATTACACATACCACAGTAACATCACCCCGAGTGCTAAAACTTTGCAGGACCATTCTGAAAAAGTCTCGAGACTCAGCAAGACTTTCCTGGGAAACATAAAAAATCTCGTGTAATAATCGCAGTGGTCATCATCTCTGTTGTGTTCCCTCCTTTGGATGTCACTCCGTTGTAAAATTGGCCATCATCGCTCATAGCAATATGCCATGCCCACGCCCATTTCTTTTTCTAAAACGCCAATGCAATGTCTTTAAATTAGCATTTTTGTCTCCTGAACCATGTGTTCCATTTGCCACCTAATGATAATAATAATATACAAAAAATGAATGGTAACATACCAAAATGCCGAATGAAGAAGAAAGTTTTCAATGAATGCATATGACCGGTTATAGCATGTGGTTTATAACGCTTGGAATTACACCGACAGTCCAAGTACTATGTGTGAGACGGCATAAACATCACAAGCACCCATTCTATGAATACAGTACACAGGAAAAAAAAATCGAAAACAGACCATCGGCAAGATCTACACATTGCAAGTAGCATCCACGCAAAAAATTACTCGCCTCAACTGTTACTTGAAGTCTTAAAAGTCAAGATGAACGAGACAGAATTATTTAAGTAGGGGGAGAGCATAAATATGCATTACCAGAGTTTTAAAATATTTACAAGAGATGACGCACTGCTCACGAGACGGACATAGGGATCGTAACGCGATAAGACTCGATTGTTCAAGTGAACACCAGCTGGAGCTGAGGCTATCCATCAAACCCACACTCACGATCCACCACACCCATAATGTTTAACCTCTACTGTCCCACTGGTCACTCATCATCATCATCATCGGCTATCCCTCACAATCCAGGATGATTGTCTTCCATAGAAAAGTTCGATTATCCATGGGTCTGAAGATGGCTGAAGACACCAATCTGGGATTGAAAGATCCTGCGCCACAGATCAGGCACATGTGTCTAGAAATGGTCGATTGAAATGGAACACTGATGCCTGTCACCCGCGAACATGAGACTTGATAATATTTTCTCCATTGCTTGTAATGCCTTGATGTCTCCAAAGCCAAATGTTACTAAATGTGTTCTAATGTAGCCGTGAATAACCTAGGCAAAACGTGCCTCCTTGTCAGACTCTCCTCATAATTATTTTAGTATTTTTTTCTACTGCAACCTCAGCATAGCTGTTCCTGTTTTGGTTTATGTTCTTTATAAGGTATATGTTCATGCGAGCTTAGATGACGACATCAATTTCCACCAACTCAAATGCAAGTCTACAAACGCCAGGCATGATGGTATTTGATATTCAACACTATTTGCCAGAATCCGTGTCCTTCATCCAGCAGTATAAATTACTATGGCTGACGATGACGACTAGTATATTTCATCAGAATTCACCATCTCCAATATTTAGTAGCACAAGAGAGTTGGTGACCTATATGTACAGATTGTTTTAGTGTTATCCCTCCCCCCTTGCATGTCTGGGAGTTTTGTTTTCAGGTTTTCCAGCTTCCTCCCAGAAGCAAATACTCATTGAGGAAATTGTAAAACATCCTGAGGACCCTAAGAAGAAGTACTGAGATGCAGTGAGGCTTGCCTAAACAAATTAAGGGGCCATTTGTATTCGTGTTTGTAGTATAGTGGTGCGGTAGTTAGCGCACAGTGCTATGAACCCGGTTTTCACCGATATCAGAGGTGAGTGATATCAAATCGAGTCCCGTGCAACCCCTTTCACCAATCCACACTGACCAGCGCGGCCAAGTATGGTTAAATTCTAGATTTGAAGCTTTCGTGACTGCAAGGATTCATATTCTTAGGTTTTTTCGGTAAAGTCACGTAGGTAAAAAATTTAAATTAATAAAAGTAAAATAAAAATAAAATAAAAATCACGACGTTTCGGAGGCAACACAAGCTTCCGTCTTCAGGTGGAACCGTCACAGCACGATAGCTGTATTTTTATTTTACTTTTATTAATTTTAATTTTTTACCTACGTGACTTTACCGAAAAAACCTAAGAATAAGTATGGTTAAACCCAGTCGACCGACAAGCAGAGGATTGACAAAGTAGTGGATTAACAAATGGATTGAAATTTCTACGAAAACCGGTCATCTTTTGCTCGAACCCACTCTCCCGTTTGTTCTCTAATGATTTACTTGTTGGTGGCCCGAACGTCTATGAATTTTCTTACAAAGCAATTAGAATAATTGACAATGAAATCAATACGAGAAATATTAGCCCGATGCTTCCAGCTGCTCTCGGATTCCTCTTTTCCAATTACTTAATGGACGGATGATGGAGGCCTTAAAATAGGGATGGGAGAAAAAAGTGCAAGAAAACACCGTGACATTTGCCGCCTGTGGGTGAAGTGTGATGCGTCACGCTAGCCTCAGCTAGGTTTACCGCCAGCAACGTTATTATTTTTCCAGAACAAAATTCTAAGAGCTCACTCGCTGACATAATCTCAAAATAATATATACAATACGTACAGTAGGGAGCGTTTCCGTACACAAAACGCACTTATTGTCTAAATGGGTGCTCGTTAAACTATGCTGGAACAGTATTCATATATAATGAATGAAAAATAAAGGTCAAGATTGAAACAAACATTTTTAGTGGTCGAACCACTTTACTGTATTCTGTGATCTTGCAATGAAGGAATATCAAAACGACACGAACTCTATCATGAAGACCTCTCGTCATGTGTATTTATCTATACGCAAAGACAAAGAACTCCTGTATAGACACAACAAACTTTTGGGGCAAGTGCAATTATCGAGCACCTCTGAAAGTTGGGACGACACATGAAGGGCTGGGTGGCCAGCACCATGGCCTTTATCTCCCTAGTAGCGATGTTTACACACCGCATCAGGTACTCATTTGAGGCCGAGTCGACCTAGGGGAGGCCCAGCGTCGGTTCAAATAATCGCCACTGTTTAGGCCGCGAGTGGGAAATTAACTCGGGTGGCCGAGTTTGTAGCACAGTGCGCCAACCACTGCACCACCACCCCCCCACACACTCGCTCGCACGCATACACACATCATATAAAGCATTACTCACATTCACAAAGGCAGCCTCGATTTTTATATAATTACACGAGCTGCATTCCGTTAGTCTGACACGAGCAGGTTGCGGCATTCACTGGACCCCCATAATTAATGTCTGACCTCCGGCTCGCTGCTCTGGACGTCCTGTTGCAGTTCCCGCTGCATTTCGGCGGTGAGCTTCTGCGGACGATCCTTCAGGTTCGCCTCCTTGAAGCGCTCGTTTTTGTTGACCTCCCCAGACTTCCTGCATTGAAACCAGAACAAGAGATGCACACGTTTTACGGGGTCCACGGGTAGCACGGGCCCTGCTCCAGCTCCTCTCAGTTAGGGGGGGACGGCAGGATGAGAGTGATACACCACTGAGGAGCAGAACTTTGGGTGTGTCAAAGGGATGTTTGGTCGTGCAGGGCCCACCCCAGAACCATCCTAGTGCCGTTCCTGGAGTAGGGTGGTTCTGAATCGATTCGTTTTTTGGATTATCTAAAAAGTTTGGATTCCATATTCAAATCCAGTTCCATTTTAGTAACAATCGAACCGATTGGCAGGTGAGAACGTTCAAACTGCATGGCACGTTCAAATGTGATTGGTCGTGTGAATATGTACATGTCAGTCAGTCCACTGCTGGATGAAGGCCTGACCGCGCCGTATCAGTCAAGGTGTTGTTTGACCAAAGTTCACTACGCTGGTTGATGCGGGTTGATAGTTGAATCAGCGAGAATCGTTACTTATTTATTTTGCATGCGATTTTCGATGCAAATTTATGTTCACAACCAGAGTCATGGGTATGATGTACATGCAGCACCAATATGTTCAGAGCAGAGCCCATAGCCTTGGCATTCTTACTCACCATTCAATTCTCTCAGACAAGATTCGTCAACGATACTTTTTTCCAGGCCTCAAAATAAAACTAGCATGTGCTGGCAGGCCATGTCCAAAAACTCTGACGTCACAAATGGCGCCGTGTAGTCATAAAATATGGCGTTGTGGGACCAATGACCTGTGTCTCATATCTCCAGATCTCTTATCTCTCTCTGGTTTATTTCACTAATCATTATCTCTTGTCTACAGCACTCTTAACTCTATATCTTGTTTACTCCGCTCTCATTTTAACTCCTCTGTCTATCTTAATGTGTCTGTGAGATCTCTCTGTGGGCAACTCCAAGTGGCTTCTGGGCCACCTATTGAAGAATCCTACTCTAAGATACAGCATAAAAAAATTATAATTAGTCCATCTTTCCAAAAACAAATACATTCTATCGCTCTGTACACTCACCAGGCTCACATAAGTGCTTCCCATGCCGACAGGTCGGATATATCTCTCTCAGACTCAATACGTCTCATGTCAAGTCTACCAGCGGGTAATTTTCATGCACAGCTTTCTCCGTAATGAGCACAATGAGATTGGAACCAGTTATATCGTAATGAGACTAATTTCCACGGCTCACATCTCTAAGGGTCGGTTACAAATCATGTTAATACTAGACCTATGGTTAACCTCTTTCTATGCACGTGAGAACATTTTATTACACTAATTATATGGTTATCTATAATCTATTTAATTTCACTGCATTTTTAAAATGTATTGTCATCTTGTGTATAAGCTTAAATATCACTGTTGGTGTGAAATATGAATTGGTCATCTGCTGATTTGTTTGTACTCATCGGACGCCTTGCTACCATTCTGCCGGGACAGCCTTGCAAATGCGATGTCAATCTCATAAGGTAATCTCTCATTTGTAATCATAATAAAATACAACTTGAGAACTGGCTGAATCATAAATACAGACTTAATTCGTCTCATACGGTTCATATTTCCACACATACACTGCTAAGCACACAGCACATTTACACCTTTTGCATGCAGGCAGCCAGCTGCTATCGCCACCAGAGCTCTCTTGCACACATTCTCGAGACAGACAAAACGGATGATCCCCCGAGTTTATATTTAAAATAAAGCGTCACACTGTACTCTCTCAACCTTCGCTGAATAATGAAGGCATTATCCACGGCCAACTTCCCACTATACTCGTGCTTTGTTTTCACATTCCCTTTCCGTGCAGACATTCCCCCAGTGCCCCCGACCACTTTATTAAGCACCATCAGCTGCAGCAGCCCTGAATCAGTGTGTCCACACTGTGGTCCTTAACCTCGGTTCCCATCACACTGGTCACACACTTTTTCTGGCATAAGGTATTCCAACAGATTTAAGGTAATTTTAGGGTGCTGATTCCAAATCTGGCATCAGTTTTTGTCTATCACATCAGGTTTTTGAGATATCAAATATTGAATTTTCAATAAAAACTGCAGAAGAAAAATATTAAATAAATGTGGATATCTACATAAAATTATATTATAAACACACTATCCTAAAAATACAGCACCATATTTTAACACTAAAGCAGTCGCTGACTCGCAACAACTTGCAATCATAAGTGACAAAGGTAACTTCGGGTAAAATCAATGAAAATGGGGTATGCCGATAGCATAAAAAAAATGAGATGTGATAGAGCAAATCTGAGATCAGATTTGGAATCGGCACCCTGAAATTAGTCTAAAACAGCTGCAAAAGTCCAGGCCAGAAAAAAAGTTTTTTTTGTTGTTGACCAGTGTTATCATTGTAAAATCATTAACAAAATGCTTACAATCAAATCAAAAGGCATGAGCACCACATCCCCAGAGGTCAGAAGCTAAGCAGTGTTGAGCCGGGCTAATGCCTGGATGGGTGACTTTAAAACACAACAGGTTGTCACGGGCGGCTGTGGGATTGTGCAGGAAAAGCCATTGTTGTACTGTGCTTCTATGCTCCCAGTCTTCATCAACCCGCACTGACCAGCATGTTGAAGCATGGTCAAATGACCCACACGGTGTGGGGGGAGGCCCTCATCCAGGAGTGGATTAATAAAAAATTAACCCGTAAAACAAAGTTTTTCACTATAAATCCTTTATATGCGTGGCGGCTAGAGTCTTCTCGTCCTCTGGCTTGAGATGGCTGCCACCTATGGGTCAGATGATTGCCTGCCACCATTAAGCAATTGGTAATTAAATATAATTTAATTTTTCCTAAACAGTGTAGAATTTTGGAGAAAAAAAATTTCACGAAAATAAATTGTCACGCACGAGTCTGTGTGCAAAATGTCAGCTCGATTGGATCACGGGAAGTGGGTTAAAAAACGACCGAAAGATTTGCACGGTCGTAAGCACGCAAGCAAGCAAGTGAACTTAATATAAAGGATTTAAAAAGAGAAGTGCATGTTTTGTACAAGGAAAAATGACTTCACTCATCGATATCAAATTGAATGACATAATTCTGTCACCACCATTGACTAATTGCACTGCACACACCACCATGTCAATAGTTCACTTCTCAATCATTACCAGACTGTTAGCCAAGACAAGCATCTTACATCATCACCATGACAAACTATGATGTCGCAATGTGATTACATTGCTTGGTGAAGGTGACATTTGAAACGATTGCAATGTCCACTGCTGCTATAGGAGGCGGAATGCAAGATTTGTAAAAGGGTTGACGTCAATATTTTCCATACCGGAAACTGCACTGAAAAAAAAGCTGACAAAATCAATTTACCCGTTTACCTTATGACCGACAAACGATGGCAAATGGAGGTGGACTTAGCCCACCGCACTGATTCTACATTAGCGTGTGCCAATAAGTGCATTATTATACTGCAAATGATGACCGTTACCCGATTTTCAGAACCTGTTATAAATTATGAAATCGTTTCTCGTTCCCGCCCCCACCTTGTTATTTAACAACCCTAATTTATAATCATTAAGATGATTACCCCCCCCCCCCTTGTTCCCCCACTCCCCATTATGAGCAATTCAATGAATTGTTAGGATTTAGGGTAGTGGTTCAGTTAAAGAGTCTCTTTATTTTGTCTCATTTTACCATCTTGTTCATATTATCTCGATAGTAATCTTGTTTGGCCCAATAACCATCATTTGTTCGACGCAGCGTTTGATCCGCGAGTGCAACAAATCGATTTTAACGAACAAATCGATGCATCGTTGAATCTCGAACTCCAATCGCCATCACGGTGATCGGCATTGCTACGTTTAACGGCATCATCAGCACCACTGCCGATGCCATCGCCACCGTCACCATCAGCGGAGACCACTCACCGCTGGATGTCGTTTCGTGAGAAGCGGTTGAGTGCGGGATCTTCGCCCATGACGCACACCCATACTTCACCATCCGACCTCATCTGCCAGTGCACCGTCTTGCCGCGATCTGCAGCGAGAAACGAGAAAAGGGGTCAGAGACGACGGCGTGTTGCTGCCGGAAGCCCTCGGGGCATGCACGAGTCACCTAATCTCTCTCCAGGGTCTGGTGTTCTTAAGCTAGAGATGGTCCCATCCAGGAAGATGCACAGATCACCAGACATGTCTGGAAAACACTCTAACGTGGGTAAATGTGATACAGTAGCCTAATGAACAAATCTCCTGGAATTGGCACGATCTCGACAAATCAAGGGTGGCTAACCATGTATAACAGGTGTTATAGGCCACGGGACTACATTGTCGGCTGCAGGGGAACTTACAGTAACATCAATTGCTGTACTATGCTCCTTTTGCCCCACGTTTCCGTTCCTCACTTTCGCCAACCCGCACTGACCAACATCGTGAAATATAGGACAAAGGGCTGTGTATGGTACACAACATGATGGTAGTCCAGGAAATTGCACATCACCGAAGCAAGAGGTAAATAATTTTCCATTATGAATTGCAATTTTAATATAGTTCGCTATCAGACAATATATAATCGTGTACACGTAACATTTATAAACACTGCTGTTAAGATCCACATACGAGCATGACAGTGGTCTAATTCACCCATGAGAAACAATCCACAAATAGGTCATTCATTAATTGTTGTTTGGCTGGTATTTGGACTATCATTGACCCAATAAAGGCTGTAAGCTCTACTTTCAATCGCTTACCTCGCTTGTTCGAGTTGGGCTTCTTCTGCTGCGTTTTCTGCTCCTTCTCGATCTGCTCCTCGCGCTCTTTCCACCGCCGGACCTGCTCCTCCCGCATCTTGAAGAAGAGGATCTGCTTCTGGTCATCATTGAGCTCGGAGAGCAGCTCCGGCTCGATAAACATGTCGCGTAGGATTTGCTGCAGCATGGTGGCGGCTTGCCGTGCGGGGCCTGGCGGAGGCGCCGCTCGCGATTGCACGGACGCACGACGGTGACGATGGGAGGCGCCGAGCGGTTAACACGACACGGCCACCGCGGGGGCTGCGACACCGTTGATGCTCGCGAGGGTTTAACTGGCACGAGTGGAACTCGAGGAGAAAAGGCCCTTGAGGTCCCGTGACTCAATAGCAGATGAAGTCAGCAGCAGCAGCTTAGGTACGCTTCTCGCTCACGGATTCTGTCACGAGTCCTAGTGGACTAAATGAAGAACACTGTCGACTCCTTATCCTGCAAAGCTGTAGGCATGACAAAGAAAAAGAACAAGCGATTAGATTACTACTGCGGTTGTACTGTACAGCTGTCCGGTGTGTTTGGGCTGAACCGCGTGTTGTTAGGCATGATGTCCCACATTTTGCTCCACGTGATGGGACGCTTCTTTGAGAACGTCGACGGACATCATGCAAAACAGCACGCGGTACAATATGAAAAGTCATCAGACAACTATACAATGAGAATGTCATTTAAATTTAAATATACAATAAAAATTCATTTAAGTTTACAATCACCGTAATTGAAGATTGAGGTTTATAGCGATGATTAGCAGATGATTCTCATAACAGCACAAGCATTTAATTATGAAATTTGTTAGCAGAGTGATAGGATTCCCATTATGACCAACCACATTGCAGCTTATAGTGCCTTTCACTGTTTTCACAGCCTTCACTTCACATAAAAAAGCAGGCATTGGAAATTGTATTTTAAAGGAACAGGATGTTGACCCAGGTCTCAAGCCCGAATTAGACGAGTCAAACTATTTACCGATTTAACCAAATAGCCTTGGAACGCGTTCCAACCAATTTAGGGCTGGCCGGAGCTGTTCAAATACAACGTAAAAGTCTTTCAATTTCAAGAATGTATTTATTTTTTATTTAACCTTCACCAACAAACTTGGACGGCATGAAACATGGTTACAACATCGTTTTTTTTCCGTAAATGGTTTGAGAGCACGTAATGCTTTTAACATTGTCAGTAAAGGCACGGAGCTTGCACGAAACTCTCTTTTCATGAGTCACAAGCCCTTTTTACTGCGTCATCACCTGTAAAGAACCATCAGTCATCAGCAAACAAGGTCTGAAAGTCATTCATTGTCCCAGTAATTGGAATGTGGGCCATGCTGTTATTATTTTCTCTCGTTTTTTCGCGACAACTCAACACCTAACAGGTGGCCAAGTGAAGCCCTCCCTATCCACCAGAACCAGACTTTTTAAAGGGGAACACAGACACGTGATGCTGGTTTCCCTGCCAAAGGCTGAGGCTCCAGACAACCGGTTTGTTCGGGGCACAGTACAGTACCGATTTAGTCATCAGCCCGTAACAGCTAATGGGTGTTTGCAAGTGTCTCAACATATTTATTTATTATCTTTGCAAAACAAGATCTTCAGCCAAGCAGCCTTTTGTTTCCTGCTGGAACACTAAATGTAAATCAGACCGGATTCCTCAATGCGCAAGTTGTGGGTGTGCAGCAATGAAGCAAACTGCAATTACAGTATTTAAAAAAAAATGTAAACGATAGCAAATCAAGCCAAAATACAGATCAGCAAAAATAAATGTGGATTTAACATTTAAAAATGTGGGCGCAAGCGAATAGCCAGTGGGTTTAAGAAAATGTCTCGGCGGACTAAGAAAGCACATCTGGGATTTTGAGTTCATTCGAAAGGTCAGAAACGTGAGAGATAAATGACATCTCCTGGGCTTCGTATGGCCCTTGAGTTCAGAGACTTTTATGGTCTTAGCGTGCAGCAGCAGCACCACCACCACTGTGCACAAAAAAACACAATGTCACAAAATGTGTTTGTGCTTCATTAACTTGTGGGGAGCACTTAAGAGTGAAAATGATGGCCGTTCAAAAAGAAAAACATTGTTTGAAATATACTTTACACCCAGTGTCTGTTTTGGGTTTACAGTCACAATTGAGTGACAGAGTTTAAATTTAGATTGCGAAATGCAGTGGCCAACCCATCTAAATATTTCAGAGGGAGTGGGGGGGTAGGAAACATTGTTTTTACTGTAATACTATAATTATTGCATACAAGCAAATTTGGATCATAAAATAGTAAAACACAAATCTGAAATTAAATATAAATAATCCTCAATTATTTCTACGAAAATTTATTTTAAAAAGTCTCTCATGGCAAATTGCCCCTTTTTTGCAATCCACACTCAGATGCACCAATGGTAAAATCAACGACTGTATAAATACTGCAGTTAAAACAAATCAATGCCTACATTCATAAGATACCCATGAGATCTGGTTGCAATGCAAAAATCTATGTATGCATCTGGAGAAAGGGGAGCCAGCGCAAACACATCCCAGTGACATGCCATATTAAAACGCAAACAAGGCCTGAAAAGAGTGGAGGCACAGGTAAACACTTCAAAGAATACACACACACACACACGTGTGTGTTTGCGGACACCTAATTATGTAACCGGCGGTCATGCCCAAAGTGCCACACACACACTCTCTCAGAGAGGGCCCACCGACAATTGTCTGGTTCCTTTACAAACTGAAGCGTGCGTCTATTTACCACATGTTTCCAATGATACTGGAGTGGAATGGTATAGAGATGACATTACGCAAGAATGCCTTATTGGCTCAGAGACCTTCAAATCCTCCGAGAAGCACGGGCCTAAAGTAACGCTGGTCATCAGTTTCACAACCCACATTCTTCCACGAGTAAAAATGCATTTTAATGTCAAGTGCTCAGAGATTTCCTTTGCTAATGTGAAGTGCGCTACATAAATGCACATCTATTTATTTATACGACGTGCAGTAAATGTGCATACGCCATGTATCTGTCCCACTGCCGAATAAAGGACATTGTACGGACTTGTATTGCTGTGACCAATGACGCTACGCCGTGCTAATGTAAATATTGAATGCGGCACTGTGCAAGCAACGACCATGGTCTATCCACTGATGGATGACGGCCATCACCACTCTTCACAGCTCTGCAATGCTACTCCGGTACGCTCCAATCCCACGCTTTGGCAATTAAGACATATCATCACTTCATCTCCATGTTACCATTCCATCACAAGTCTTGTCCATGAGCAACCGCCCATTCTATGGATCTGTCCGACCCACGCCTTCCTGCTACTGTTAGTCATTGTCATGCCCCGCCATCTGTTGTTTATTCCCTGGCTCGCAGTAGAAATTCAAGCATGCATCTCTGCTTAGTTTGTGTGCATTTTTCAGCTTTTCTTTAGCATTCTTTGGCCACTCGTAGAACTGCTGCGTGGAATGAAAGCAGGGCGGAATGAATGAGGTGTGGAATGAAAGAGGGGTGGAATGAATGAGGTGTGGAATGAATGAACACTTTCTTCAAGCGCATCGGTATGCTGCATTTCATTATCAAGTTTAACATTCCAACAGGGCTCCCCCCATCCAGCTCGTACTTGCTTTAAGTTCATTATTTACATCTCAGTCTGTAACAAAAATATGCCTCCACTGTTAACGTAACTTCACAACGTATATAAACAAGATGTTGTACTGTTCTGCTATGCTCCCACGTGGATATGGCTCTCTTGCCTGGCCTCTGAACAGCACCATGAAGTATGGTCAAAAATAACACACGTGTGACCCCCCCCCCCCCAAATCCAGCAGTGGATTGACATGAACATGAGAAAACTAGAAATCTCAAGTACTTCATATATACAACACACATAAATGTGTAGCCAAATCATATCCCTGCAGATGACAGCCCAGTAATGTGTCGATGTCCAATTTGCATGTACTTCATGCCAATCTCATTTCACTCGGGGACAATGATGTAACGGTATAGGGGAGTAAGACCAAAAACAACAGTGTAAGGTTACTTAACACAAACAAGGCGACCTGTGCTTTGAATACTGCAGGCGGTGGGTTACCGCTTCATTGTCATTTAGAAGTGTTAAGAATAACAAGGCAAATTTGTATTTAAAGCTTTCGTGACTGCAGGGATTCATATACCGAAAGAACCAAGAAAAATAATAACAGTGCAGTGAAAATAGCCAAGAATTTGCGATCTCGTAAAAACAAACACAAATGACAAGTCACACAACACCATGTAACGAACACTACGCTGCGTGTGTGTGGCTAACAGATCGGTGGATACGAAGTACCGTAGTCTATACACAGTCATGTGTGTGCAAGTAGAGTGTGTGTATGACACTCTGACACATGATTTAACGAAAATGTTGCACTAACTATGATGTTCACATAAATGCTTAGATCATCCTCCCGCACTGCAACCATTGAGATTGGGAAAGTGGAATAAAAAAGCCATAAAAACCCAAAACACTAGCAGGCATGTGTCAGCTTTAAAGCATGTGTGTGTAAGTAGAACGTGTATATGACACTCTGACACATGATATAACTAAAATGTTGCACTAACTATAATGTTCACATAAATGCTTATATCATTCTCCTGCACTCCAACCATTGAGATGGGAAAAGTGGAATAAAAAAATCCATAAAACACTAGCAGGCATGTGTCAGCTTTAAAAAAATGTGCAGTATTTTGCCGAAAGCATCCTCTGTGGATGATGATCTCACGCCCAGGCCATCCTGCTGATGCATCGTCTGTGCAGTCAGGGCAGGCAAGGCACGATGTCCCCCCTGTTGCAATGGCTATGGGGCGTGTGAGTGAGTGAGTGTGTTTGTATGTGGGGACTAAGAACTCAATATGAGTACATAGTGTGTATAATAGAACATCGCCACTGGGGAGACAAAGGCGGTCAGGCGTGGTGATGACCACCACCCCACCACCACCCCAAACAGTCTGTTTAATGTTTAACACGGAGGCTTTCGCGACCAATATCATCCATAATATAGGTTTTTGTTGTTGGTTAGATCGCGTAAATCTAAATGTGTCGTTAAACCAGGAGGATTTCTACACAAATCTGGCTGTCGCCTGATGAAGCTGGTTGTAATCACCGGCGAAACGTCGTACTCAAGATTGTAAACGTTGTGGCTTTTTGCTATCCAACACACCGATGTTGCTGTACTAGTAACGAATTGGCATGTTCTGTTACGTGAAAAACATTACTAATTGGTTGTATCGGGTGGTGGCGGGTTTAACGACACAACATTTATATTTACACGATCTAACCCCCCCCAAAAAAACTTACATTATGTCTGTTTAAAAGACTATACTGTAGAGGATATATCATTGCATACTAACTCTACAATTAATACACAATGTATTGGGGGTCACAGCTCTTATCGGGAAGTGTGCAATGTGCTTTGCACGTGGCTGGCACTGATAAGTGACCGAACAAGATGAATTGGCTTCGTTAATATACAAATTATCGTTGTTGTTGTTGTTATTGTGTTGGTACGGGTGGGAATGCATCATCGTATTGAAATATTAGGTATTATCCGCAGCCTGTACGGTGTCATGCATGACACATGTGATAGCTACATGTGTAATGCATGACACATGTGATAGATAAGCACACAACCACAATCATCTTCATACGTGCCAAGTATTGACTTGCGGCAGTTTGGTCCAAAGGCAACTTATTGGACTTCTTCTATAACCAGAAGAAGGCACACACAGCCCCAATGTTATTCTAAATCCCACGTACACATCATGGACTATTGTTTCACACACTCTACGTACACTTTTACACAACATCGCTATAAAAAAATAAGTCTTAATCATAGGAGCAGCACGTTACAGCAATGATATTACACACAATGGCAACATGTGCTTGTGAGTAAAATGTAAATGTGTTTGGTTCGGTATTGTTTCACACACTCTACGTACACTTTTACACAACATCACTATAAAATAATAAGTCTTAATCATAGGAGCAGCACGTTACAGCAATGCTATTACACACAATGGCAACATGTGCTTGTGAGTAAAATGTAAATGTGTTTGGTTCGGTATTGTTTCACACACTCTACGTACACTTTTACACAACATCGCTATAAAATAATACGTCTTAAACATAGGAGCAGCACAGGATACACGTTACAGCAATGATATTACACACAATGGCAACATGTGGTGCTTGTGAGTAAAATGTAAATGTGTTTGGTTCGGTACTCACCGCAAATTGAGGATGTCCCTTGTTCAGAACAAAAATAATAATCAAAACTTGTCCAAGGCGAAATGTTTCGTTGTTTTTTATTTAAAACTTCACCGATATCCACCAATTCCCACACGATGGCTTGCTCAACAACAACAACAATCACTCTCCCTGTGTCAAGGGGGACGATATCTAAATGATTTACTTTACAACAATTTACCACGACCCAGAGCCCCACAACACACTCCGAGTCTCATTAATAATACCACGGGCTAAGTGAACCCGTAACAACGTGAATCTATCCACCACACACCGCTTGTTTACTCTTACACTGGACGACAACAACAACAACTACAATCTTCCTCCGGCCAGCGGATGAAGAAGCGAACTTTTACGTTACAGAACGAATCGTCTCTGATGCCGCATCGCCAAGGGGCCCCCTGGGCTACACGGACTCGGGCAAGAGATGGGGAGGTTCCCCCCGGTTACTGCCGGGGCGTTGCGACAAAGACACACGGCCAGAGAGAAAGAGGGAGAGGATAGTGAGAGAGAGAGAGGGAGGATAGTGAGAGAGAGAGAGGGGAATGTCAACCAACCCACGTTGCCTTGTCCCACACCGCCGCCCCCCGCCTGAGTGAGAGGAAGAGGAAGCCGCAATGGGGGCTCGTGGCGGCGTGGGCTGGGCCCCAACATCGTGGGCTGGGCCTCAACATCGTGGGCTGGGCCTCAACATCGTGGGCTGGGCCTCAACATCGTGGGCTGGGCCTCAACATCGTGGGCTGGGCCTCAACATCGTGGGCTGGGCCCCAACATCGCCAAGTGCAACGCCCCTTGCTGCTGCTGCAGCCACAACCACCGACACACACACAGACATACAGACAACAACAACAACAACAACCGCCATTCGCCACTAAGTGGCGGTGACGTCACCACGATGCTTGTGCCAGGCCAAGTGCACCGGCAAAACAACCTCCTACCTCCTCGCGGTGCCGGACGGGCAACACTGTCGTGGGCAGTGCTGTGGGGGGAGGGCCAATGCCCATTGGCCTCTCCCCTCATGGCGTCTGTGACCACCACAGTGGCTAAACGGGGGCTCTGGACGGGTGTGAGGGGCTGGTAACCCCTCCACCTTCAATTCATTACCACTAAACCACGAATTAAACATACAGACATACACACACACACAGACACCCAACTCACACACCCCAAACCCCCCCACACACCCCATACACCCCCACCAACACCCCCCCACCCCCATCCACACCCCCCTCGCACCCCTCACACACCCCCCCCCGCACCCCCCCCATACACCCCCCCCCCGCACCCCCCCATACACCCCACCAACACCCCCCACCCCCATCCACACCCCCCCCCCCCACACACACCCCCCCCCGCACCCCCCACAGCCCCCCACCAACACCCCCCCCACACACCCCCCACACACCCACCCACACACCCACCCCCGCACCCCCCCACAGCCCCCCACACCCACACTTCCCCATACCCCCCCACACCCCCCACCCACTCCCACCCCCGCACCCCCCCCCCCCACAGCCCACACCCACACTGCCCCATACCCCCCCACACCCCCCACCCACACCCACCCACACACCCACCCCCGCACCCCCCCCACAGCCCCCCCCCCACACCCACACTGCCCCATACCCCCCCACACCCCCCACCCACACACCCCTCCCCTGACTCGAGAATGCAGAGGAGACAAAAGGCAAAAGATTCCCTCCCACAACCCACGACCACCACCACCACCAACCCACCAGCAGGAGCAGTATTGCTGTCAGTCGAAGTCCTGTTGCGCCTGCGGGTGGGTGGGGACGGGGGTTGGTCAAGCACCGCGCCCGGTCGCCTTTGTCTCCCCCAATTTGGCGACGTATAACACAACTCAGTTGAGCCTTGAGTCGACCCCGGGAGGGCCAGGGGGCCCATGAGCGGCACGAGATAATCGCTCAACACCGGTGTTTGGTGGCCGTGAGCAGGAATTGGTGGTGCAGCACCATCGATTCTTGCTACTAAAGATGCCACCACCACCAGAACCACCACCAGCACCACCGATTCCCGCTACCAAAGATGCCACCACCAGCACCACCGATTCTCGCTACCAAAGATGCCACCACCAGCACCACCGATTCTCGCTACCAAAGATGCCACCACCACCACCAGCACCACCGATTCTCGCTACCAAAGATGCCACCACCACCAGCACCACCAATTCTCACTACCAAAGATGCCACCACCACCAGCACCACCGATTCTCGCTACCAAAGATGCCACCACCACCAGCACCACCAATTCTCGCTACCAAAGATGCCACCACCAGCACCACCGATTCTCGCTACCAAAGAAGCCACCACCAGCACCACCAATTCTCGCTACCAAAGATGCCACCACCAACAGCACCACTGATTCTCGCTACCAAGGATGCCACCAGCACCACCACTGATTCCCGCTACCAAAGATGCCACCACCACCAACACCACCAGCACCAGCGATTCTCGCTACCAAAGATGCCACCACCACCAGCACCACCAATTCTCGCTACCAAAGATGCCACCACCACCAGCAATGGAATGGCCCTGCAGGTTGCTTTGCTCCCTGCTGCCTTTCCTTTTTCCCCTCCATCCATCCCTCGCTCCCTTCTCGTTCGCTCTCACGCCACCGCTCGCTCAGCTGACCCTGCCTTGCCACTTACCGTGGCGTCTCTCGCACTCGTTACACACACAAATGTCTCTCTCCCTGATCTCGTCAATGAGAGCCACAATCCATCATCATCACGCCAACAACAACAGCAGCAGCATCGCTCGCACTCTTAGAAGGGCAGATTCTGCGGTGGCCGTCTGGAACGCTCCTTTACTCCCGATATTAGGAAGCCACTGGTAGCGATGCAACTTTTAAGTCATCTCGATTGAACACTCATTGGCTTAGAACTGTTTTTTGTGTTGTGTGTGTGTTTAGTTTGTTGTCATTTAGACCTGCACCTCCGATTAGCGTGTTTGGCTACGTACGGTGCGAAGGAAGTTCAACATACACAACGCAACTCTCAAATATGTCGAGTTCAACATCCGTGTGTACATACATACACTTGGCGGCAGAGAGATGGCGCCGAGATAGAGACGGGTGCATGTTTAGCCAAATTCATGCGTACGCAAATTACAAGACGGATTCCCTCTTGTGTCCACTGCTGGTCACAGTGCAGGCTGGTGGAGGCAGGTGACATGGAGGAGTACAGCACAACAAGAGGACATCCATTAATTACGCATAGAGGGGGGTTAACCCAAATGCGTACCCTTGTGTATGGGGGGTCTACTGACAATGTACGCATTGGAAACGGGGTGGTGGGGGGGGGGGTGAAGCCTCGATAATAATTTGTCTACATTGGCCTTCAAATGAGTTAGATAGTACGGCGGTGGACTGTCTAGTTTGCTTAAACACGTGAATATTATTAATCCTTGCGTACAGGGAGGGGGGGGGCAAGGCCGTAGCCATGGAGTCAACATTGGGGGAGACCAAATTTTGCAGGGGGTCTGGGGGTCCCCCCCCCCAGAAAAAAATAAATCTAGATTTGAAAACGAATTTCCTGCCTAAAATATTTACTTTTCATTTATTTTTAACAAGAATGTCTAATAGTGTATTGCATTACATTGCTCTGTTTTTTTCTTTTTTACCTTTTCTTGTTTCATTCTATGTAATTGCAGAGATTAGGGATTTATAAAATAACAACCATAACCACAATCATATAAACATAAATTTTTTTATAGCAATATAGTATATTTGAATATCTTATATTTTTATATCTTATAATTACGACCGTGGGGGAGGGGTCAAATTTTGACAGATTTTTGCGTATGGACTAAGTGGATGGCCCCCAACGGGGAATGATTCTGCACTTCTCATAGCAACACATCCTGGCAGAAGCCCAATACCACATGCTTTAGTGCGGGTGGTCGCCCATCCAAGCACTATCCAGACTAATGATGTTCGTGATTTGGTCATAGCAGAGAAGAAGAAAAACATAACCTCGTCAAGTTAAACATACACTGTAAATATTGATAATACCATAGTGACCGACTGACTGGATGACATAAATGCCAACTCAATGGACAAATGCCTACAGCCAAATAAAGTTGGCGTTCGTACAATAATCATATGGATGACTACACATACACAGCACTGTATACATTAAAAGTACATTAATTGGCGAGGTGGTGCTCAACATTATATAATCAACAACACTCAAAGCCAAAATAATACATATACGTAGCTACACACATACCCACGATCTGTTTAGCTTTAATAAGAATAACAGGATGCCGTGATAATTGGTATGATAACGAGCGCAACTGAGCACCTACCAGGGATAGGGCACTGATGTATCCAGCACCGCACGTCCTTTAACATGAGCACGTATATCGAATGCGATGTTTAAACACAACCACGCTTAGGACACGTGCTCATTTTAGTCTGAGTCGACCCAGGGAGGAGCAAAGTGAGGTTACGAAATCAATAAGCAACTCACCAATGGAAGTTTTTTTTCCTTACTTCCAAAATGTCTCTATTTCAAAAGAATGTTTGTTTCACCTGGTTATACGATTAATGTATTTCCTTATTTTTTGATTGTACAGACTCCTCGCTCAGTGTCATATACAGTAATAAAATTGTCTAGCGGTGAATGTGTTTTTTTAGGTTTAACCACAATATCCTGAATGTGGAACATGAGAACACGCACACACACACACAATTTCTTATACAGTACAGCATTAAAGTTACAGAACCAGCTTAAGGAACCTACCAGTGTTTCCGCTTTGATGGACTTTTAGTTCTTCTACAGTGTAATTTATGACTAAATTAGAATACTATGTGTTAGTGCACGTCTTACACTTAACACTGCAAAGCACTCAATGCTATAAGTACAAGTCAATGTACAAGATCCTTTTCAACCAAGTTCTCTACACTTTTATACTTTTTTGGCATGTTTAAGGGGTTTACCCTTGGTACCTATGTATTACCAGTATCCAGGTGTGGACTATTTGCGTCTTCGTACAATGATCAGAATTTGTTTTCAACAGAAGCAGGTAAGTACTGTAATGCCTTTTCAAGATGATGTTTATTTTAAATTGTGTAGAAATGAGCATGACTTAACAGTGGCTTTTGCACCTAGGGCAATCACACCACTAAACAAACCTGACGTTGCATAATCCCAGGAAAGGACGTTTTATTTCGACACCTTGCAGTACCTTTATCACAATGGAATTTCCCCTGGTTGAGGTTCAAACCCTTATCTTGTGCGTTTTTTCAATGCCCATTTTTGCCAACTTGGATTTAACTGTACTTTTAGTGACATTTTTTTTATGAGACCGTTAGAATGCACGCTTTTAAGACACAGCATAACAATGTGATTTTGTGTTCATTAAATTTAATAACCGGTAATTTACCATAAATGTTTAAGATATACTCAACGGTCATTGGCAGTCTCTGATAATTTTGCTGTTTACAGAGCCAAGAAATGTGTTTACCGTGACATTAATGCGCACCTATTTGTGTAATTGTTCATGACGATGCTAATGCCGTGGC